CGCCGCCGCCGTCAACCTCTGGGGAGCCCCCAGCCGCGCCGCCGCCAGCCCGCCAGCGGCCACCGCCATCGCCGCCGCCCGCGAGGCCTCCGCAGGCGTGACGCCTAGGGCCTTCGCGCGGGCCCGCAGCGCCTCCAGCTCGTACTCCTCCTTCGAGAGGCGGCTGGCGTAGCTCCTCAGCGCGTCCGGCACGAGGTCCAACGGGTTCGTCGTCCCGGCCAGGTGCTTCGCCGCGCCCCAGTTGGCCTGCTCCGCCCCGTGCGCGTAAGCCTCTGTGTACTGCGGGAGCCTCCTGGCGATCACCTCCAGCGACGCCAGCGCCCCGATATTTACCTGATCGTAGGTGCCTGCGAGGTACAGGCACTCTATGAGGGTCTGCACCTCGTGATACGCGCGATCTCGCCGAGAAACGCCCGAGTCCTTGCGCCACTTCTGGAACCGAAGCTTTGGGGTCCTCCCGCGGCGATGCATCTTGCGGCGCACCTCCAGGCATGCGGGGGGGCCCCGAATGGATGAATCTGTGAACACCTCCTGCGTGCTCTCCTGCACGACCTTGCGCCACTCCTTGAAGCGGGCCCCAGTCTCGTCCACGTCGATCCAGCAGATTCGGAGGTCCTCGGGCACCTCGGCGTCGTCGCGACGATCGCCTTGGGCTTCGTGGGCCTCCGGCTCGCCGGGAGGCGTCTGAGTGCCCGTCACTCCTGAGATCAGCCTGTCGTCCAGGCGGCCGCGCGGCGGCCTCGAGCAGTCGGCGGCCACTAGCTTGCCGTCCTTCCACGTCGCGATGCTCTCATCGGGGACGTACTCGATCGGGAACCAGTCGCCAGCCTCGTCGCGGTCGATGCCGTACTTACCCTCTCAGCACCGCGGCCGCGCTAGGCTCGACCTGCTTGCCGAAGCCGCCAGCATCCTCGAGCGTGGCAGCCAGCCACGCGCCAGGCGGCCGCTCGACGGGCGGCGGGGGGGCTGCCTCACCCTCGTCGGCGACGGGCAGCACCTCAGGCTCGGCGCCAGCCGCGCCGGCGGCGGTCTTGCCTCGAAGGCGCCTGCGACGGACTCGCGGCACTTCGACCGCCGCCAACGGCGGGATCACCAGGCGCCGCCCCCCCCAGTCCTGGCCCGCGACCAGCCACCAGTCGGCCGCCCCAGCCCCGCTCTCCAGCACAGCCTCGCCGCGGCCGCGCCGCACCAACGTCAGGATCTCGTCCGGCTGCAGCTCTCGGCTGAAGGCCTTCACGTTGCGCACTCCCGCCGGGTAACGGCGGCGGCCCGTGAGGATCACCGCGCTCGAGTAGTCATCCAGCGACTCCGTGTGCAGGTCATTGCTAGCCGTGTAGATCACCCACGACGTCTTGTCCTCCGAGGCCGGCCAGCACAGGATGCGCTCGTGCGACCAGCCCGGGTCCTCGGAGTATTGAACCAGCACCCTCGTCCCTGGCGTATCGCCATCCAGCGCCATCACGCCACGTGGATGCGCGTCTCCCGCAGTGGCTCGCAAGCCCGGCGCGCTGAGGCGCGGCTAGCAGCCCACCGCCAGGCGCTCCAGCCGCCTCCGATCGCCGCCAGCGCAGCGCCGACGCCGAGACCGAGCACGGGAACCTCCAACGTCGCCTCCAGCCCGTCGCCCAGCAGCCGAAGGGGCTGCGGCGCCGCGGGCGGCGCGCTCGGCGCCTCGCAGACGCAGGCGGGCGCCGCCGTGGACGTCGTCGACGTCCCTGAGCTGTCCTCCAGCTCGTGCCCAGGGCCGAGGCGAGGCCACAGCGGCACAGGCTCAGGAGCCAGCGCGGGGCCAAGCGCCTGCCGTGAGGCAAAGCCCGCGAAGAACGCGATCAGGCCCCCCAACGCGCTGGCCGGGCAATGCGGCTGCATGCCCGTATGCAGCTTGAGCCCATGCAGCCGCAGAGGGAGGCTGCTTGTGGGCGGCAACAGAAAACGAGAGGGCTTCTCAAAACAACATCGTGCACATCGCACTACTATCTCTGAGATTCCCTTTTTTCAAATTCCTCCGTCTTGGAGTGTTGGAAGCGGGAAAACGTAAGAGGGCGAAACAAGTTTACAAAAACCGCTCAAAAGCAACGGCTTAACCCTCTTCGGGCTCTCTCGGGACGGCTCTCCAAGCTCTCTTGGGCTGTGGGGGGCCTCGTCGGAGCTTTTTCGAGGGCTCTCAAGGGTCTGGGGTGTGTTGGAGGCCTCTGGGGGGTCCTGGAGTCCTCTCGGAGGTCTCTGGCGGCCTCCTGCTCCCGCTCTTGGGCTCATCTTGGGCCTGTTCTGGGGTGGTCTGGAGCTGTCCGGGGCGCCTCTTCGGAAGTCTTGGGGCCGTCTTGGCCCATCTTGGGGCCGTCTTCGGGGCCTCTTAGGCGGTCTGGGGGCGGTCTTGGGAGCCTCTTCGGCCGTCTTGGAGCGTTGGAGGCATGAAGTGGTGATAAGGCCAACAACCCTTAAGAAAACCATGACAATGAACGATTTTAGGTTCTCTGAGCGCATTCGGGAAGCCTCTCGGAGCTCTCTTGAGGTCTCTTGGAGGCCTCCTGGGAGCCTGGAGAGCCGCCTGAAAGCTATCCTGGGTTGCTTGGGAGCGTCTTGGGCAATTATTCTGCGTTCTGGGAGCTTCTTGGGGTCGGCTTGGGCTGTCTTTGGGCATTGTGGGGGCTCCCCGGGAGGCCGGGAAGCGCCGTACCGGGAGCGTAATCGAGATGTGAGCGAGGTGGAGGACGCCCCGGGAGGGGGGCCAGCGTATTTGTTATATATATATATATACACATACATATATATGTATACACACATCTGTCTGTATATGTATGCATATATGTATATGTATATCTACATGTATGTATCCAGACCTAGCGCCTCTATCGACTACCAGGCAGAGACCGATTGTTGGTCGGAGCGTTCAGCGGAGCGCCAACCGAACGACAGAGATGGCGAGGTTAAGCTTGCTCGCCTCGGGGCGACGCAAGGAGGAGGGCTGCGCGTCCTACTTCTTGTGCGTTTCGCAGTGTCGACGAACGGACCTGGAGAGCCCTCTGAGTGAGGCTACGAGTTGAAAATCATCATGTGGTCCCCCTGGGCTTTCCTGCGGAAATGGCCAGGCGGGCCTCGCATTTGGGACTGGCGGTCCACGCATGAAACCGAATGAATTCTTGAGGAGCTCAAAAACATTCCTAGAACAAGACGCACATATCCCGGGGACAGCGAGGGGAGTACTTGGATGACCTGAAGGGAGCCATGCGGGAACTACGTTGGAGTGCTGAGTTCATGAAATAGATCATCCAACATAACGAGAAAGCCCGTGTGATACCTCACGTAACCCTGGGAAACCACCAGCGATTCCACTGGGTGCTGACGGGATTCCTGAGGAACATCTAGGAAGAACAGCTGGAGGAACTCAGGAATTCCAGGGAGGAGTGAACCGACACATTCAAACCATAGTTCCTGCGGGATCTAAGACATCAACATAGATACATCCGAAGGAAGCCTGAATGTGTCCTACGATAATATACGGAATCCCAGCTTAACCAACTACACCCCCAAGGAAACCTCGAACATTCGGGGTGAATACTAGACCCCTATAAACATATCCACCATCGTGCCTCGATGCACGACGTAAGGTATGCCTAAGTCCTTAGAAGTCCTCCGTCCTCAAGGGTGTCTTGAAAGGGCTTAGACGCGCGAATGCACGTGGGGGTTGTCGCGTGTCCCATGGGACGCCCCGCAAACTTCCTTGGGCCAGTCGCGTGACTTTTCCAAACACCCAAGAGGGTCTGAGAGGGCGCTCAAAACGCTCAGAGACCGCTCCAAAACATCAAGACGGACTGCAGACGGCATGGGAGGCCCTCAAGACGCCCTAGAAGGCTACAAGAGGACGCCCAAGGGGGCACGTATCTACGACCCTACGGTGTTGGAATGAATTGAAGCGTCTCGCACTTCAGGCTTCCAGCGCTCCGAGACGGCCGACGTAGAGCGCCCGGGGAGCCCCCCCCCCACACGACGGCCTCCAAAGGCCAAGAGGCATCTTTGAGGCCTTCAGAAGCCCCCTGGAACCCTCCAGGCCAGGAGGCCCCCAGAGAGTTCCAAGAGGCCCCCAAGGGGCCCCCTCTTCCACCTCCTCCTCATCATCCTTCTCCTCCTCCTCTTCCAACTCCTCCTCCTCCTCCTCCTCCTCCTCCTACTCTTCCCTGTCCTCCTCCCCCTCTACCTCCCCCAAGTGTTCCCCCAAGGGGGTCCACAACGGCTGGGGGCCACATTGACCAACAGCTTGGCCAAGCGCTGGCCCCACCTTTGGCCACACCTGCGTTTCCACAAAAGCCAGGGGTGGCTGTGGCCCACCGTATGGCTCATCACCATCAGCATCACCACCATGATCATGATCATCCTCATCCCCATGATCATCCTCATCCACATCCTCCTCCTCATTATCCTCATCATTTCCATGAGCATCGTCGTCGTCAGCATCACTGACACTATCATCATCACCACTTCGCCATCACCACCATCACCGGTATCGTGACCATCACTATCACTATTTTCATCACCATCATCGTCACCATCGCCATCGCCGTCGCCAACACCACCATCATTACCATCATCAGTATCATCATCATCGTCGTCGTCGTCATCATGGTCGTCGTCGTCGTGACCACCACCACATCATCATCATCATCATCATCATCATCATCATCATCATCATCATCATCATCATCATCATCATCATCACCATCATCATCATCATCGTCGTCGTCGTCGTCGTCGTCGTCGTCATCAACACCACCATCATGTCCTCCTGCTCCTTTTTGTGCTCCCGTCCGATCGTCTGTCCTTCTCAACCATCCGCCTCATCCAATTCCTCCTAGTCCCTCTCCTCCTCCTCCTCCTCCTTTACATCCAATTCCTCATTATGCTCCTCCTCCTCCTCCTTCTCCTCCTCGTCCAACTCCCTATCCTCCCCGTCCTCCTCACCCTGCTCTGGACCCTCCTCCCTCTTCCTCTCTCCCCCATCCTGCCTCGAGCGTGGCGTGGGCTGCTGAGACTGCGCCGACTCGCGGGGGCTGCGGGGGCTGGACACCTGGGCTGGCTCCCCAGGGGTGGAGCAGAGCGGACGGGGGACGGGAGGGCGAAGGGAAACAGGGAAAAATGGTCTCCGCCTCCTCCTCTTTTCCTCCTCCTCCTCCTCCTCCCTCCTGCGTCGATGAGAATCAAGATGGGCATCTTCTCTCCTGCTCATCCCTGCTCTTCCTCCCTTCCTCCCTCCCATCCCCTCTCCTCTCCTCTCCTGGCCTCCTTCATCCTCCTCCTGCTCCTGCTCCTTCTCCTCCTTCTCTTCCATTCGTTTTCCGTGTGAATGACTCCTTCCTGTTGCACCCCGAGGCCGGTAGGATGGGCGGGCCAGGCATTTCGCCTCAGACTTACTATTTATGAGCAGGAAGCTTTGGAAGCTTTTTAGAAACTGGCAGCAAATTTCACAGGTGAAGGGCGGATCGCTTCCAAAGTATGGCTCTCACCTTAGCGCCGCGCGCACTCGTCTTAAACATGTGCATGAGTTTCACGCATTGAGGGCGGATCGTTTTCAACATGTGGCTCTCGTCTTGGCGCCGCGCATGTGCGTCCTAAGAGTTACAGGAATTTTGCGAATTGAGGGCAGGTGGTTTTCAAAATGTGGATCTCGCCTTTGAGCCGCGCACTCTCGTCTGAAACATTTGCAAGATTTTCACGAATTGAAGGCGGATGGTTTTCAACATGCGGCTCTCGCCTTAGCGCCGCGCACATTCGTCGTAACAAGTTGCAAGAGTTTCACGGATTGAACGCGGATGGTTTTCAACATGCGGCTCTCGCCTTAGTGCCGCGCACATTCGTCGTAACAAGTTGCAAGAGTTTCACGTATTGAAGGCGGTCATTTTTCAAAATGTGGCTCTCGCTTCAGCGCCGCGCACATTCGTTTTCAAACTTTGCGAGACCGTCCCGGATTGAGGACGGTTCCTTTTCAAAATGTGGCTCTCGCCTGAGCGCCGTGCACGCTCGTTTTTTTTTTTTTTAAACTTGCAAGGGGTTCGCGGATTCTCATCGTTGACCTTCCTGTACTGTTTTCGAGCGGTTCAGGATTGCCAGGGCGCAGCAGTTGCGTTGTTTCGCGGTGTTGAAGTCCCAGGATTGGTGTTCTGGCAAGATTCAAGATCGTCAAGACGCTAAACTCAGGTTGCTTCGTGGCGTTGAAATCCTTAGAATGGTGCTTTGGCACGCTTCAGTATTTCCACACGGTTGTCTTCAAACGGGGCACTTCCCTCAGTGGAAGTGAATCCTTGTATGGGGCCTATGAAGAGGGAGCTTGGAGGGAGGATGTATCCGAACATCGTTGATGAGTCTTGGGTTTACATCCTCCTCCACTTCCTCCTCCTCCTTCTCCTCCAGGGGATACCAGGGGGGGGGGGGCGGGGGCAGTTAGGGGAAGGAGGACACGGGGTGTGGAGATGGCGAAGGGGCTAGAGGAGGATGCGGGGCCAGGCCGGCTCTTTCCCTCCTTCTCCACCTCCTCCTCTGCCTACCGCTCCTTCTCCTCATCCTCTTCGTCCGTCTCAGCCTCAGCCTAATCTTGCGTCTCATCTCTCCTCCACCGCCTCCTCATCCTCCCCTTCCTCTAGTCCTCCTGATCCTCCTCTTCTGAAGGGAAGGCTCGGTAGGGAGAGAGGAGAAGGCGGAAGGTGGAGGGGGGCGTGGGCGGGAAGAGGCAACGGGCAGGAAGATGATAGGGAAACGATATGCCAGGGCAAACATGAGGAGCGTGACATTTGCGGGGGCAGGGGCGAAGACAATGGCAATTCAACGGGCAAAGACCCGGATCATTTGACGATGACGATGATAATGCTAGTTATGCCAATACCGATGATGAAGCTGATTATGATGATGATGATGCCAGTGGTGGTACTGATGATGATGATGCTGATGATGACGATGACGATGATGACGATGATGACGACGACTACAGTTGATGCCACTTCTACTGACACAGGTGACGACGATGACAGGAATGATACTGATGCTGATGGTGATGATGGCGATGATGCTGATGCTGGTGCTCATGGTGATGATGCAGATTATAATGATGATGGCAATGATACTAATGAGGACGATTATGATGATGGTGATGGGGATGATGATGATGGCGATGACCAATATGATGACGATGATGATGGTGGGGATGATGACAATGATGATGTTTTGATGTTGATGACGATGATGATGATGATGGTGATACTGGTGATGATGATGATGATGACAATTGTGATGCTGGTGATGATGCTGCTGCTGATGATGAGGCTGCTGATTATGATGATGATACCGGCGATGTCAATGATGACGATGATGATTATGATGTTTTGATGTTGATGGCGATGATAAGGATGATGATGATGATGATGAGGATGATGATGCTGATGCTGATGCTGATGATTGGGAGGAAAAGGTACCCATACCTCTACCCTTCCCTCGTTTTCCCTATTTTGGGCCTCCTTGGCGGCCCTCGTCCCCACCGCCGGATTCGCCTCGAAATCCTGGTCAGAACGCACCCCAGGAGAGGTCCGGGGAGTAGCGGTATCGGTACCTTTTGATTTCTTCAATGATGATGCTGATGATCATGATGATGATGCTGCTGCTGCTGATGATGATGATGATGATGATGGTGGTAATGCTGATGATGATGCTGATGATGCTGCTGCTGCTGCTGCTGATGATGATGATGATGATGCTAATGGAGATGATGATGCTGGTCATGATTAGGTTCACTACCCATAGAGGCGGTCCGATGAGGAGGGGGAGAAGAGAAACACTTGGGGGCGCCTATGCGACGAGAAATTGCCAGTCCCAGGCAAAGGTCATGAACCTCGCCTGGGCCCACCGAAAACAAGACGTGGTTACCGTTCCGCAAGGTGCTGCTCTGGGCCGCTGCCAGTCATCCTGGCTTTGGCAACGGCTCTCGCCTCGGGCGCCTTCCTGCCAAAAGCCTCGGCCTCCGCCCTATTGAAGAAGCCGGAAGCCGAATGCTACAGTCAACCCGTAGAATGAGGATGCGCGGTAAGGATGCAAGGGCCTTGGAAGGCCATGTCGGCGCTTTCGAATGGGGCTGGCCAGCGAAAGTCGCCAAGGATGGGCCGAAGGGACAAGGAATCAAGGGTAACTAACCTTGGAAAGTTGCTCGTCCTTACTATGCCTGTGTACTGTAGCAGGACAATCTGCAGCCCCAGCCGAGGGGCCGCGGGCTGCTTCGAGAAAGGCAGCACTGGCGCTGGCTCGGGCCCCCTGGCCCCCTCATCTGCCACTCCGAACTGTCCCGAAAAGCGGGCACGGGTGGCCTTGGAGGGAGTGGAGGCCTGCAGGGCCCAAACTCTACGAGGGGGAAACAAATTTGACAATTGTGAGCTCGCAGCCGCTTGCGCACTGTGTACGCAGGAAGCCCCATTGAGCTCCTTCGGGCCCCTGCAATCCCCTTAGAGCCCACTTTGCATGGGGTCGGAGCATACTGTCGCAATCAGGACAGGACACGAGCGGGGGCGCTTTAGACATCGCCCGTTCCACAAAACAGTGCTGCTTCACGCCGAGCTCTAAAAAAGCATCCAGGGTCCTTTGGCGGGGGGTCCGATGGGGGGCACAAACACCAGGAGGCTCCGCGGGAGGTTCGAGGTTGTCAGGATCGGGCTCGGGGACTTCGTCCTCGAACATGCAGGGGGGGGGGGGGGGAATCTCCCAAATCGATATTCAAAACCATCATTTCCCACGTGCATTCCCACCGTGGACGTCACCCGGGCCGAAACCTTGCAGGCCGCTGGCCTAGCCACAAGCGGACATCCTTCGACCAACTGCACATGTCTGAAGTATGAATTGCCTAGCCCCGCTCCTTTCTTAGCGAAGACGTCGGCCGTGCAATTTCCAACAACGTTCGCATCATATTCTACCATGGCGAACATCATTGGCCCATGAGTCTGCCCTGGCATGTTCGATGGGCTGGGCCTGATGCGCCCTCCCTTCCGTGCGCATATTTCCAAAGATGCGAGCGCACGCGTGTCATCCGAGCTGGTGGTCTTAGCAACCGGGAAGCAACAAATGACGGTACGTACTTTTACAATCCGCACGAACATGATTTTTTTGAGGGCGTGCTGGAAACACATGTACTCAACATCGCATTTTGCTATCAGGTTTCTGGCAGTGCCCGAGATAGCAAGATCACTGGGAACTCGTCTATGCAAGATGCCCTATCGGTGCTTGTCCGTACCCGCCAAAACCGACCAGCCTGCCACTCGGAGAAACGGGTGCATATGGTCATGCCGCGACCCACCTGTGAAAACACAACCCCATTCGATGTTGAAAAGGAAGCAAGATCTCCGCTGAAACACGAACCCTTCGCCTCGGAAGAAATCCATGCCTCCCTCGGGAAGCGAATGGATTGGTTGATGGGGGACCACGGCGGGAAGAATACGTAGAAACATCCCGTGGGTCCCGGAACCGGCAACCATCCCATCGCCCTGCTTCTTCAAATCATGGGCATCATTGCTACCAACGCGCAATGCGAGACAATCAGTTGAAGACTCGGGAAGGTAGGGTCGCACAATGTGGCGTCACTGCGAAGCATGCTCATGGCATGGGCAGCAAGTGATCGCTGAGCTGAGACCGCCCAACTTCTGCGAACTTAATGAAACGATCGTGCTGGAAATGGTCCTCTGTGTCGCGATAGGCGGGCCAACGGCAACGCAGAACAGGTGCGTCACATCGTCTGACGGTGGTTACACTTACTTCAGCAAAACGCCAACATACGCAAAACAAGCCAGGGGCCATATACACAACCCGTCCTTCGACCTGCTGTCCTAGGTTGGGCTGGTTACGTAGAGCAATATATAACCTGAACATCACCCGTGGAAGCTGGAGCTAGCTCAACATTTGAAGAACGGCGACATGTGGGCATTATTGGCGCGTGAACAAGGTAGCATCAACACGCGCACGCAATATGGTTACTGCTATTCTGAATTCAAATGCGCGCGTGGTTAACTCGACCCGGCGGTGCAACGTGCGACTTGCGTTACA